ATTAAATTGGAGAGGTCTATTATCACGTGTTTTATTTATCCGATCATTGAACGAAGGAATTACTTTTTAAATAAACATCTCTAAAACGAACTCTTGTTATTACTCGATCTTATTAACATTGTGAATTGAAAGTGTTTATCAAATAATGCTTATTTCTCGTTAAACTGGCGCACTAGGAAGAGTAATTAAGCTTTTTTTAAGACAGAGTAATTGTTCCTTCCGCAATGAACGATTACCGGACTCAGTCGATGCTACCCACAATGGTAACTATTGCTGCAATTGCTTATACGGAGCGGATGGTGAGGTAATTGTTAGCCGTGATGCATGCAAAATTATCATGCGAGTGGATTAGATCCTGTGAAGACCTTAAGGTTTTCTAGCACGATCTCCTAATCACCCACGCTAAGGCAAACCGTGTTCTGTTCGCAGGCGTTAAATCTAAATTTAATTAACTTGATTGAATCTTTGAATAGATACTACATGTTCACCGCATGGAATAACGAAGACACGTGATGAACGTATTTTATATCACGTATTTTTAATCAGATTTTGATAAAAGAAAAAAGAAAAAAAAAGAAAAAAAAGAAATTAACAAAATCGAGAAAAAATAAAAAAGGGAAAAATCTTCAATACGATATCAAATCAATTATCTTTTCTACGATTTTCTGCGATTTCGAATTTCGATTTATCGCGACACACACACATGACGATCTTATCTTAAAATTCAAATCGAAAAAGATAACTCACCCTGCGCGGTAAAAAGTAATACCAAAAGACCAACAAATCGCAGCGGCAGCATGTCGTCTTTGTTTCGAAAGCACTGTCAACAAACGACACAATTGGCACTATAGTCGTCGTTGGATTTGAAACTTTATTTTCAGCTTGGAGAACGTGCTTATAGAATTGGACGGTAATTTCACGATTTCGATATAATTCGATTCGATTGAATTAAGAACCGAACGTATCCACCGATACGAGGTGGATACCGAATACAAACTGAGAGAACAAGCGCGCGTGGTATCCGAAGAGCGGCGACGGAACCGGGCCCCCGGCTTTTTACGGGACTGCGCCGACCGGTTGCGCATTGAACGAACTCGACACGCGCCTGAATTTCTATTGGAATATACTTACACACCTACGATAATATATTTGTGTAAAGGCGCCGACTACTTTGTACAAACGCGCGTCTATACGAAAATGAATATGTATTCGATAGTTCAATGTCGCATAAACGTTGCACGAATTTATATCTGTTTTTTTAAATAAAATTTTACTTTCATTTATAACTATTCGAATTTTTTAAATAATTTTGACTTACATTATTTGCTTGTATTTGCTTTCAATGATTAATAACAAGAGTGTATAGCTATTTTTTTCGAATAAAGATTTAATTTTAATTAAAAACGTAATAATAATAAAAATATTTTTAATTTATTATAATCATATAAAATATGTATGATTATAAGTTAAGACATAGTTAAGACAATAAGAATTGCATCAAATGAAAACAGGAAGGAAACAGATATTTTATAAGAAATCACAGCTAAGCATAAATCAATTCGCACAGAAAAGAAGGAATACATATCGAATATCGAATTTATATGTGCACAAAGTTTTCTGAACGCATAAAGTATAAGTTCACACGTACATATATACGCGCGTGAGAAGCATGTATTTGCACGATACTTTCGTCGTTCGCTTACCTCTTTCGATTCATCCATTCACTTTGTCATTGTGCATAAGACGAAAGCCAAAGAGTATTCACTTTACATTCTTTTTTTTTCTCTAAACAAATTAAAAATAATATCCATAGAATATATTTTATTTTATAATATTTTCAATTAAATAATGTCAAGTTAATATAACAGGAAAATTATCATTATGTTAAATTTAGCAATTTGAACAACACAATGAATTTATATGTAAATTCGTAGAAAAAAATGAATGATATTGTAATTATGAGAATAAAATATAAAAATATATAATTCGTAATAACATTGAGTATATTATCATATATATGATTCATACTTTTACAAAAAAATAGCGATGATGTCATTTTATGAAGTATATTACAGGTTATACATATAGATATTTTAAACATTGTTAATGAATATATTTATTTTATGAAAAATTGTAGTTTTTTCTTAATATATTTAATTCATTTAAATATAAATAAACAACAAATTTTCATTCTTTTCATGAAATAATGATCGATATATAATAATATTTAAAAAAAAAAGTAACAAATAATTGTTAATTTTTAAATGAACTTTATATATTGCATTTATTTTTATGCTTTAATTAAATTTCACTTAAAGAAGTTTAAATAAATTTGTAACAATAAAAAGCAAATTAAATTTTAAATTGTTGTTGATAACGCAAATAAAAAAATATTTGAATTTTATATCTATTAGTCTCGACAAAAGATTAACTTTTTTCATTTCCCTTTCCCGTGATAATAAACAAAGACCTTATTTTATTTCGTAAATACGATAATCTCTTTTTTTTAGTAGAAAACAACTATAAATTTATACATAATATTTATTTTTAAATACATACTGTTTATATAAAATATTTATATCAAAGTTTTTAGAATTACAAAATGAATCTATTGAATTGTTTGTTGTGGATTATAAGATAACGTACTGTAATATTTTATTTTTCTTAAGTTCCTAGTATAGCCATCTCGTGATGAAATTGTGAAACTGAAACGTAAAATTTATATAACTGTTCGTGTTGCTAAGCATATAAAAAAATAAAATTTAGTATTTGAAAATAAGAAAATATTTCTGTCAAGATTATTAATATATTAATATAAATTAAAAAATATGAAAAAAAAGGAATCATAATTATATTTTCCGGTGTAACCGGAACAGTGAAATTTTATTCGCAAAAGATGTCACTTGATTGGCTATTTTTGAAACAGGTTAAAATCCCGCTAAGAAACTTCGATGCCTTTACGAACGCAAAGGGACAAAGGACGCTGTCGTACGCAAGCAGATGGACGCCATGTTCATTTGTCAACGGACGTCAAGGTGTGATCATCGGAAAGAGTAAGATTGCTTCAAAAAATATGAAGATATCAAGTGCTTTCATTGAATAATTCTACAAGTTAATGTGTATTTAGAACGATATGGCGTCTTTGGAATTACAAGATCGGAAGCTGGAAGAATATGAAATGCAGCTGTTTAACTTTCATTCAAGATCCGTGTACGCTACTTGTAAGGCGCCGCCGTTTTGAGTTTCACTTGAATGCTTTTCAGATTTTATGGCATTCTTGTTGTGTACAATTATATATTCTAATCGTTGGACGGGTGCACTCTGGTATCATGTGGATTTGCTCATGACTAGAGTCACACTCGTCCATTGCTTGGAATACTTTCACCAGCCTTACGGACGAAGTTGATCACAAAGCGACTACGCTTCACTTCTTTTCTCTTCTCATCTCATCTCTTCTGTTCTCTTCTTTTCTCTTACATTTCTCTCACAGATACCAACAAATAAAATTTGATTTTGAATCAATATATGTATCAAATTTCTATTGCATTTCTTTCTTTTATTTTTATGTATATTTTTATCATTTAAATACTTGAATTAAATTGAAAAATATATATAAATAAATAATATAAAAAAAAATTATATTTAATAAATATTATTTTTAAAGTTTTAATGATGGATTTATAAATTTTTTTATTGCTAACTCTTTAGTAATATACTATTAAAAATAGGATGTAATAATAGCAAAAATTATATATTCCTTTTTTTTTTTTTATAGTGAAATATATTGTGAATGAAAGGATTCATTGTACAATTAAGAAGATGTGTGAGACAATTGAAAAAGCATACAAACTAAATTCTGAAGATTTAGCAGTACTTAAAACAAATCAAAAACAGTTAGAAAAAGCATATTGTAAAGGAGCAATACCACACTTAACAAATATTAAGGTAATTACATTAGTTAGTAATGTAAACAAAAAAATAAGATTTCTTTTTTTCCTTAGTATTTGTGAAAAAGTATAACTACTTTGTTTAGACTATTGTAAAAAAATGTATTGCTGTTCCAAGTAATGTTTTGTTAGAAGAGGACAAATGTCAAAGGATACAATATAATGACACAGAATTTAAAAACATAAATCAAAAATTAGAAGATTTACAACAAAGAGCAAAAAGAGTATGTATTTAAGTTTTATATTGTGACTATTTTAAATAATAATAAAATCTAATTTTATATGAACATTATTATATATATATTATAGGCTACTATTTTAAATTCAATATTGAAAGAAGAACTGCAGTTTTTAGAACAATTTCCAGTTACTGAAGAAAATATAAATAAAATGTGTCATATAACAGAAAATATTGTAGAAAATCCTGATGTAATTGAAAAAATGTATCAATTAGTAGAAGATTATAATCAATTTTCCACAAGCCTTAAAACGACACCAATAACAACAAAAATGAAATATAATACAATAGATAATCTTAAATGCAAAGAATTTGATGTAAATAATTTATAAATTTAAAATTATATATAAAGTATATTAATATAAAAGTATATTTGTTTATGATAATTTTTTCTAATAAATAAATGTTAGAATTTTTTAAATTAATTTTATCTTATATTTTTCATTGTACGAATATATTTCTGAGAGATTATTCTTATCATAAAATTAAAAATTCACATCACTTGAACAAATATCTAGCAAAAAGTGTACATATTATTTTTTCTATTCGAACAAATTATTTATATTTCATATGTTAATTTTATTATAGTTATTTTAATTAAAAAAGAAAATTTTTAAATATTTAATAATAATCAAAATGTGATAATTAGAAAATAATAAATTAATGTAGTTAGATAAAAAAAATTGTATTATATAACAACTAATATTCTACATGAAATTTATTAAAACTATGAAAATTTTAATATAAAAAAAAAAAAACAAGAAATAAAGTGGAAAAATAAAAATCAAAAATTCGTAAAAATTTAATAATTATAAATATACTGTTAATCTGTTATTGACTCGTTCATTTCCAGCATAAGGTCACTTACACGACTCCCTTCTTCTTAGATATATAAAGAGGGGATATGTTAGACCCACAGTTAGGTTTCTTTCACATAAGCAATGAAAACTTATACATATACAACGAGACAGGAATCTTTTTTGTGTCCACTGTGTCTTGTGTGCTTGTGTATAAACTGGCATTCCCGGTTTTAGCTTCTTTCTTTCTGTTTGCCTTGATAGTCTTATATTCAGCTTCCGCGCATTTGTGTAGAAAAGACCTTAGAGTATACTAGCGCTTCTCCATAAAGCATTTCGGTAGTGGGGCTCGTCATAGTGGGGATGTTCACTTCGGCGCTTAACAAAGATTTACAAGCATTATTGCGGCACGTTTTGCTGAGTACAATTGAATGAATTAAGGTGTGCTATTATAACATTTTATTCTTATTAAAATAATTTTTATCATTACATTAGCATCAATGTTAACATTAAGAAAAAATAATATTAACAAATTAATTTAAAATGTTTCTTAATGATTAAAATAAAAAACATGATTTTGACAAAGGTTATATATACCTATAAAATGATAATTTCAAATTTTTCTAAAATTATATTAATAATTTTGGAAATGAAATAAAAGTTGAAATAAAAATATTAAAAAAATAATTTACATATTTGAAATTTGATTTTAATTTTATAATATTTAAAATTATGATATATTGAATATTATATATCTATATATATCTATTTATATATCTATATATATATATATATATATATATGTGTGTGTGTATATTAAAATATATACTAAATTTTCATTGACAATTAAACATAATATTATGAAATTATAAAAGTAAAAAAAAATAAATTATAAAGTAATTGTATGTCAATTTTAAAAATAAAAATTATAATTTTTTTTTAATTATTTGAATATTAAATAGATATGTTAAATTTTGAATTTGATATAAAAAAAAATTGATCTTTTTGATTTGAATTGATTAATGTTATTACAGTATATAAAATATATATAATAAATGAAAACATATATGAATGTTTTATATATATTTTTATAAAATGTTAAAGAAATATCAAATTAAGAGAACAACAATCAATTGTTTTAATGTTTCATTTAAATTTCTCGCTAATAACATTTAAATTTGTACTTCGTTGTATTACATATGTATATGTGTATATACATAAATATATGCTGAATTATTTTATACTTATATAAAATTTGTGCTTATTTTTTTAAAAACATATTATATTGTATATAGAATTATATGGAAAATATATTAAATATTTAAAAATTTCTAATATTTTTTTTAGTGAAAAATCGATTGTATGAAAAATGAACCAATGATATTGAGGTATACTTGCTTTTCGTGTAGCATGTTGAATAGTTTCTTATAAATGATAGGGTTAGAGTAGGGATGAAAATATACAGAAATTGGTGTCCGGTATTCCATGTTAATGAATGTGTTGTCATATGTTTGATAATACTTTTAAACATCAAAATAACTTTAAAATCTTAAATTAACCGTAATATTATTAGGTGAAATAATTGTTCCACAGTAAAAAAAAAAATTTACATTCAATCTACATTAGGTTTGTATAATTTTGTATATCTTTCTATTAATACTGATTTTCTTTACTCATAATTAAATAATTCATAAAATATTTATTTAATAATGATATTATGTTGACATAATTTTATAGTTATTATTTATAAAATAATTAATTTCATAAAACAAATTTATACAGAATATAATTTTTTCAATATATTGTTATATACAGCTAGATAATCAGGATGTCAGAACAATTTGTTGGTTGTACAGTTTCCGTAAAGTGTATTGAAGAAGTTGGAACTTACCAAGGACAAATATTGGATTTAAATAAAGATTGTATTATACTTTCTAAAGCTTTCTGTAATGGGGTACCTCATAGTTCACCTATAGTAGTATTATGGTATTTTAATAATGATAATTTAATTTTAATAATTCCTTATTTTTATTGATAATTTTCATAAAAATACAAATATTAAACAATTTTTTTATATATATATATAAAAGTTATTATTTTTAAATTTTTTTGCAAAAAATATATTGATTTTATTTTTAGTGCAAAGGACATATTAAATGTAGAATTTATATCAATTAATGAGACGGCACTCAATACAAATGATAACAATCAAGCACATAATAATGTAACTGTAAAAAGACCTATTGCTAAAAGAGCTGGTAGATCATTTTCAGAAAGTGTTTCATCTTCTGTTCAATCTACATCATCACAAACACAAACAAATGTTAAAAAGCCAAATAGTTCTCAATCTATTATAGAACAATCTGCTAATGGAAAAATTCCATTAGGTATAATAATAAAACAAAGTTTTTTATATCAGATAAATATTAAATATTAATTTATAAAATATTATAAAATATTATATGATGTTGATTTATTCTTTCAGCTGAATCTGTTGATAAACCAATACAAAAAAAATTAAGTAATAGACAAAGAAATTTAGGACGTGATGAAGATACATTTGGTACTCAAATTGATCAAGCATTGAATCAAGATTTTGATTTTGAAAAGAATTTAGCTTTATTTGATAAAGAGGTTTGTGTTTTTTATTCTTCTCTTGATACTTGATTGTTTCCTTAGTAGTAATTTTAAAAGTTATATACACTTAAATTAGTTAATTTTATAGGGCATGTGGCAGAAAATAAATTCTTTAAAACCTAGAAAACAAAGGCAAACAGTAAACTATAGGCATGATGAAAATATTATTGTTTCTGAACCTACAGATCTTAGACAAATAATGGTACCCAGTGCTGGTGAAATAGAATATGTAACAGATAATGGTTTAATAATTCCTAGTATAACACTTAATCTTCATCGTCAATTAATAGGAGCAGCAGATCGATTGGGAATTAGTTGGGAGCGTAGAGTATGTAAAATAAAAATAAAAAAAAAATATACAATATTTTTTGCTAAATGAAATTAATATTAATATCAGGTAGAACTTCTTGGTCGTGCTGGTGCAGAAATTACATTACAATTATTAGGAGGAAGTCATCGATTAGATCCAAATAATGCACATCAGTGGCCAACAGTTATTGCTCTTTGTGGACCTCATCGTTCTGGTGCTGCAGGTGTTAACTGTGCTAGACAATTATCTAGTCATGGTATTAAGACAATAGTTTTTGTAGAAAATTCTGAAGATGTTTTTCTCCTACAAGAATTGTCTTTATATAAATTAACTGGAAACAAAGTAGAAACGAATTTAAAAATTTACCATCAATGGTGGATTTAATAATTGTAGCTCTTTGTGATGAAAACTCACCAAGAATGATTACACCTATAGCAAAGTGGGCAAGTAATAATAGGGCACCTATTTTAGCTATTGAACCTCCAGCTACAGGAACACCTGGTATTCTTAGCAAATGTAGTCTGCTTGGTGGATTACCATTATCTCATAGTGTTGACAATGGCAAATTATATTTATGTAATCTTGCACTGCCAAACGAAGTATATGCAGACGTTGGTATAACATATAGGTCCCCTTTTGGACCGAAATTTGTCATTCCTTTGCATTCCAATAATTCTTAGCAAATTTATAAAAAGGATCATGCTTCTAATAAAATGTTATAATTTAGCGTACTCTTATTTTTATGCCTTGCTAATAAATTTATACTTACATCGCAAGAATATTGTCTGAATTTAATAATAAAAATCATGTAATGTAGCATTTAATGTTATACAGTTGAAATGTAGTTTGTGTATAAACTGTTATAATTTGGTGTGCAAAGGCAATTGTGTGTAATATTCTTTTAAATGTATAAGTATACAATGTATACATAAGATTAATATATAAAGAATGAATATACAATGTTTGGTTTTGTAAGTTACATAAAAAAATAAATGCTTTTAAATAAAAGTAATAAATTCAAGTAAAACTAGTACATCAATTTTTAAACATTATAAAAATATAGAAACTCTATAAATACTACTGGTATTTGTTACGCAAATGTATTGTTTCATATTACAAACATATAATAACGACATAATATTATGATAAGTAAATATTCCTTTTACAAAAAAATATAATCATACAAAAAATTTTTTACATATGCGTATCTCATTTTCATTTATAATTATAGGAAAATATTGACGATATCTATAAGAAATATTAATGACATAAAATAATTAATAAAATAAATTTATTACTTAAATAAATTCGAAATGAAAACATTATTATTCATCATACAATAAGAATAAAATTATTTTTCACATGTGATATATTGTCATATAAAATTTGTAAAATATTTACTTATAAATTACTCATTTTAAATTTTGAAATATTACTAAAGGTTACAGTTAATAATAATTCAAGAAACAAGATTCAAATATCTATTAATTATGTGATTTCCATTTTAGCTTTTATTTATTTTCGTAAATTGAAAAAATATTTCTATTGCTATAAAAAACTTGCTTGTAGTCATTTTTTATTGAATAATGTACGAAATATAGTAGCATAATTCAAATAATTACTTGTAATAAATGATTGTATAAGATTTATTTTAATTATAGATAGCTTAAGTAAGTTATTTATATTGTATATGTGTAAATATATATTTATATATTTTGGAATTTAGTCTTGAACTTTAATGATGATAAATTCTATAAATAATACTAATTTTTTTTAGAATTATATAAAACATTTTAAATACATTTAAAAATATAATATAAAAAAAAATATAAGTGCACTAATTAAATAATAATTCTAAATATAATAAATATTATAAATGCTGTAATATATGATCTAAAAATTAGATAAATTTTTCTTATAATTATATTATAGATAGAAAATAAGTGATAAAGTGAATTAAAGTTTTGATATTAATGGTAATTTATATTTTTTTTATTTTTTTCTTTTGTTTTGTTATATTATATAGTTTTCGAAACTTTTACAATAATTATATTAGTGAAGTAATATGTTTTAGAAGTGTCAAAAATGATGGTTAATAATAATAGAATTATAATTAAATGATTAACCGATTTTTAAGTAATTAATGATATTTTTTTCTATTTATTGTCAAGTTTTATAAATGCAGTGCAAATTAACATCCATTACAAAAATATTTCAATACTTTAGTTCAGCTCAAATAAAAATTAATTTATATATTTTTTTCATATATTTTCTAATAATATTCATAAACTTGTACTATCAATGTTATATATAAGTACTATAATACAATAATTTTTTATATAAGAATTAAAAAATATTTTACAGAATTAGTAATGTTTTAAGTATGTTTGCAATAGTAATAATATTTTTTTAACAATAAAAAATTAGTTATTCTCAAAGTTATTATTTTTAATAAAATTAAGGAGCTGAACCATCACATATTTATTTCAAAAAAGTTTTATTTCCACAATTCTAACATTGATACATTACATTAATAATAAATTTTATCTTTGAAAAATCTTTGAAAATGTAATGATATACATAGAATTGTGGAAACAATTATTAAGACCTAATTTTGTCATTTTATCAGTCATAAGATCTATTTTCAACTATTAAATTTTTTTAATACTTATTTATAGAGTCATAAATATGAATAATTCAATTACAAGTATCTTATTAAAAATACTTCGTATATAATATTTACATTCGTATTCGTTATTTCAGAAGAAATAATGACTTATGAGATTTGATCACCTCTCGAATTATGTGTTGTCTAAATCTGTACTTAATCACACTAATTGAATACTAAACTAAAAATTGACCACATATTGATTAAGGCATTTTTTATCTAAATTCATTTCGATTTTACTTCATAATATATTCTAAAAAAAATATAATTACTACATTTATTTCGCAATGTGTACATCTTTATTTCTAAAATTCATCTTATTATAAATTTTATTTATTTAAAAAATTAGGAAATGATGATATTTTAGCATCTATTTTAACATCTAAAAAATAATAGGGCAATATCTTAGCACCTTGCAACAATTATAAAGATTCTTACATGTATTCAGCCTCAGTCAAAATATCACTAGAATACATGACACGTTTTTCCCATTATTTTTTAGTTGAACATTATTTTTATAGTTTGTATGATTTTTAACTGTACAAAGATAAAAACTCAAAAACGCGTCATTAAAACTTATATGATGCAAAATATCTTTTCTTTGCGATAAATAACAGTAATTTAATAATTTAAAAATAATATAGAAAATACCACTATACATATTAAAATTTTTTAATTTATAAATTATAATTTAAGTAAATCAATAAGAAGCTGCTAAGAAGTGATGTTTTTCATATTAGATAACCAAGCTTCATTATGAAGTCTAAAATTTTACTTAAAAATGGAAAATATTTTTTTATACTTTATTTCTTTTCAATATGAATTTATTATATATGTAATTACTAATGACAAAACGATTTTCTTATAAACGTTTCATCAATAAATATAAATTTTAATTAATTATGATTAAATATATTATTTACTTATATCTTATTAATTGATTTCTATATTTATTCTATATTTCTGTGTTATCAAATATTTGAACTATTGTATCACGTTGCTATTTAAAACGAAAAATGCACCATAAGAGAAAATATTTTGTTATACATTGCTTTCTTTGTAGGTAACAGTAATTATGCTTTTGTAATTTAACAATTATAATTAATTAGTATTTTAAAAATATTTTCTAGAATCGTAGAAATATATAATAATATTTATTTATGCAATTTATTGTTAATTGTAGAGTCAGTATAGTGGAATTCGTATTATTTTTTAAAATGGCTTAGAATGCAACTTTGAATACAATGTCTAATATTTTAGTGTATATAACTTTTTTCAAGATTATTTTATATTGCAATCTTCGATATTTTTTATTATATAAATGTCAAAAAACAATTCTCATAGTAATTATATTATATCTTATACATCTTCGTAAAAAAACATACCAGCGTTGATTGGCTCTTATTGGCTCTTCCTAGGATGCTGGCGTAGGATTAGCAGTCGGTGGTACGGCATTCGATTGTTTCGCTCGTCTGCGTTTGTTTAATAACGCATTATTTGTATGATCTAATTGTTTTAAATTCGCTGTATCGTAGTCTACACGCATCGTAGCTAAAGACCGTGTCATTTCTTCTTGAACTTCTGGCCAAAGTTCTTCACCTTCCCGAAGTACACGACCTGTATGTAAAGGTGTAGGAGGTACTTCCGTATATTGCTATATATAAAAAATAAACAGTAGTATATATTTATTAATGTACAATATGTATATTAACTATACGTGATGATAAAAACATAATACTTACAGCAATCCATTTATTGCGCATAACTTCATCGATTTGAAGTCTTTGAGCTGGATCTGTACATAGCATACCTTTAATAAGATTTTTTGCTTCTGTGCTCACATTAGACCATTCAGGAGCTGGAAAATCATATTGACCTAATCGAATTCTTTTCTTCATTCCTGGTGAAATTGCTAGACCATGATTACTATAGAAAGGTGGAAAACCACATAATCTAAAATTAAATAAAACACATAGTATAAGTATTATAAATTAAAAATTTTTAAATTTTTATTCGTTAATAATTAATCAAATATAAAACTTACAGTATATACATAATAACTCCAAGTGACCATATATCACAGCTTTTGTCATATTTTTCTGGTCCCAAAACTTCAGGAGCTATAAAAATTATTTTATTATTTACATATACTTATAAAATTTAATTTGTAAAAAATATTATAACTTTGAAAATAGCTTACCAACATAATATGGTGTGTAACATGGAGTTTGTAATGTATCTTTCAAATGTGTTTCTTTGGCAAAACCAAAATCAGTAAGTTTTAATATTCCAGTACTACCTAAAAAATATACAATATTTATTAATATGTTAATAAATTTATATAAATAAATATTAAATCTTCTTTGTATAATTTATTTTTTTTTCTATATTTGTTTTTATTTACCAGGTTTAGAATACAATAGGTTTTCTGGTTTAAGATCCCTGTGTGCAATATTCATGTCATGCAGATGCTTTACAGCAACACAAATTTCATACATTATTTGTGCAGCTTCTGTACAAAAATTGCATATAATTTTAGAATATTTATTATTTTTACACCAAATACGCGAATAATATAATATTAATTTATTTTACCTCTTTCTGTGAAAGCACCATCTTGTCTATCTTGTATTCTTTCAAACAATTCTCCTCCTTCCATGCTAAAAATATTTTAAATTTATATTTAATTTTGATCTCTTAATTAATATCATTCACTAATATTCATACAATTTATATAATAAAATTGTTCAATTCAAATATTTAAATTCTCTATACTTACCATTCCATAACAACTAATAAACATTTATTTCCACTATATGTATTTTCATACACATCTTTAACTTGTACTATATGCTTGCAATTTGATGCTCTCCAATGTAATTCAACTTCTCTTCGTGCTTTTACACAATCATATAGTACCTATAAATATATAATATAAAATATAATATCTATCAATATTCAATATTAATAATTTTATTTATAATAATTATATATAGCTTATAGATATTTTCTAAGATTATAGAATTAATATTGAAGCTTGAATGAAATGAGATAACATAAATTAGATCAAAATAATAAAATTGATATATGACTTGCAATATTAAATAAGCGTTATTCAGTAAGCAAGAATATGCGACATACGAAATATTTCTTCGAAAAGGGTTCATAAGAATTCTGTACATTCGCTTTAAAACGTTCTGGTGAATGACCTAAAAACAGCTGACGTCGCCGTTAAATCGATAAAACGTATTACATTTTATAGTGCTTTGCGACCTAACATTCTTGACTTAAGATATCATAGCACATAATCGATGAATTGTAGTATTTGAAATTATAAATATATTATATATTATAATATATAATTATAATATGTTGAAATTGATTTTAATTTTTATTAAATATTAAATACAGTTCAAATATTTTTTATTTCAGCAACATTAATCAAATACATTATTAAAACTGATAACTGACTAAATAAGTATATTTGAATAATATACTTTTCAATAATTTCTTTCTTTAATCTTAAAATTAATTTATAATTTTTACGTTTTATCCTTATATAAATTATTTACAATATATTATATATTATTTAATAAACGAAATACAATAAAAAAATCATCTGCTTATAATTATATAATATATAAGAATATTAAACGTATTGTGAAAAATGTAAAGTAAAAATAGAAAGGAAAAAATATGATTAAATATCATATTTCTTGATCAGTAATTGATATATTGAGCGTTCTAAAATACAATTTCAAATATAATTAAAATAGAATCGACAAAAATTTAAACCGATTTCAAATAGATATCATTCAGTATTTGAAATGTTGAAAAAGATAATTTTCACGTGTAATATGAAGTTGTGAAAATTCATTACACAAGAAGATACGTTTATTTTTAGCACATAAAAATTGCTATCCAATAAATAAGTTTATGTGTTAAGTTTATGAAAATTTTTTAAATCCACAAAATTTTTATTTTTTATTTTTTAATTTATAAATTTTCAACTTTTTTCAATTTAAAAAAATCTGACAAATCTATTGTTTTACAAGTAAATGAACATTTTAAATTTCACACAATGCAATAGTTAACAAGTTCAATTTACATGATTTTTCATAATTGTTTGTCGTGGTTCTTAAATGAAAATACATGGTCATGTACTCCAAGCGATCGACGTTTTGTGATAATATGATTAGCGTTAGCACAAAGTAAAATGTTCATTATGATAATGAATAGCACATAAATGAAATAGTGGAATTATCGTTAATAAAGCGCGATCAGATCGTATTCAATTTAAACGAAGATATTTTACGCGGAAAAAGAAACGTGTAACATAAACTAACTTGTGATATGAATATGTGCGAAAATATACAATTATTTTGTTTTTTTCTTTTCTTTAATTATGCACAAATTATATATTTTAATTATATAAATAATATAATTAATTTAAAACAATTATTTTATTATTTTGTCTTTTTCATGTAATATTTTTTAATCATGAATTAATATGTAGAGAATTTTTTCTTTTTTCTTTTTCTTTTCAAAAGAAAATTTCAAAGAAATTTTTTATGAAAAGAAATCGAAATGGTATTTCCGTCACTAACTTATTATTGAGATTCTACTGACGAATCGCAGAAATACACAAACCATTCCTTTACACAGAACTCAAGGTATAAAAATTCAAATATTCTTGGAATGCTACGTCTTGTCAAGACAAAGTAATATAAAACAGTAATGACAATGATACGATTTGTTCTCGAGACAATAATCAAATAATTCGTAACAAGATTAAATTGTGTTAGTTCTTGCTTACAACTCTCTTAAATATTTTTTAATAATTATTTATTTATATATAATATATAATTACTATATAATATAATTATACATTCATATAATATAATTATTTGAAAAAATGTGAGCTTTTCTTGGAGCATATTTCAAGATTTTATTTCTTAGAACAAATATAATTCTGTTTATCGTATAATATTCACTATATTCTATAAAAATCATCATTAGTAGTTAACTTTTACCACCAGTAATTAAACAAAATTACAGAATAATATTAAAGTTGTGTTGAATGAATTCGAAAATTACTATAAAGAGATAATTATGAACTGGAATTGTACCGAATGATAAAATTATCGTTATTACTGTCAGATTTCAATTTCCTTATGATTGTGCCATATAATTTAAAGTTTTGCTGACTTATAAATATATACATATGGTTTGTTTCCAATCATTCGATTTTAATAATTCGACATAATAAATTGTAATTAAATTTTGTCTTGCTTGCAAATTATTCGTTCAAAACCAATTGTTTTGCAAAAATTTTTTCTTTAATGAAATGTTTCTCATTAATTTGTATTATAAAGACATATGCATTGGATCGATATGGAAATAACCTGTATATTAATTAATATACGATTAACAAGAAATGACAAGAATGACTCATTCTTATATCATTACGAATCATTTTCGTATGATACTTTAGTTTCATGTTATATAAGAAAAAAAAAAATCTCAATTTTGCGATAATAATTAATAATTAATTTATGATAAGGAAGATATATTGACTCTTTAATATTGAATTTATTATTATTATTATTACAAATTAATACTTTCAATTATATTAATAATTTTGTTGTAAGCATGAGAATATCGATATTATATAAATAATGATATATTTTCATTGAAATTTATCAAATTATTCTTATTTATACAGATATATATCCTCACTCACAAATGAATATATATTTTTTTTCGTACACAAAAAGGAAAAATTATAATTTAAAAAAATTAAATTAACATATATATAAATTTATAAAAAATAATAAATAATATAAATATAGAAAAAAAACAATTTCAATATAATATAAATAAAATTTTAATATGAATAAACAGTTTAATTTAAATAAAACGTTATACAATTATATTTGCACTAGTAATTCTATAATTCTATAATTCACATAATTTAAACTATAATGACATTTCATGTTTTACGTTTCCCATAGAATATTATACGCGAATGAAAATCCAAGAAACCAATAATAAACCAACTGCGAAAAGATGAAAACAGGAATCCATAAAATTTTTCCAAAGTAATATAAAAAAAAATAAGAGAGACAAACAGACTTCGATACACCGCATGGTCGGAATCGTCGAATGGGAAATCACCGAGTATAAATAGAGGATGACTCGTGGTCTGGACTCGCTTGGACATCGTTAGTCGATGATTATACTTTAGGACTGCTAGCTAGATATTGATACATCTCCGATCGATAGATCCCTCTAAACGCGTAGAGTAAGTACATTTTGCATCGAAGGCATCAACTTTCTTTACAGTATCCTTCCGCATAATCCAAAAATAACTAAGGACGGATGTGTCATGTTAAATTTAAGAATATTATATATAAACATATTTTTTTACTTATATAAATTGTATAAATTGAAACACTTGAAATCATATTATTATGTTTCGTTAAATCATATTATTAATTCGTTCATTAGAATATTGCAAAAAATAATACAAAAATTAATAAATCTAACTTCTATGTGTCATTGTACATCACTGCTTTTATAATCATATAATTGAACATATTTTATTATTCATATTATTTATGTATGAAATTTTAATTAAATCTGTCGATTTCATAGAATGAAAGAAGAAATAAAAATTAAAAGATCCGATCAAATTTTATTGCATCATGTTTCGATATGTGTCAAGAGAAATCAAGAAAAACATTATTTCAGTTTTGTAAGTGATTATTTTTATATTTATATTTCAATGAAATTAAAATAATTAAATTAAATTATGTTTATTAACATTTCACTTTCTTGTATTTGTACACATTGATAATTTCATAGAATTAATGAAAATTGATAAAAAAAACAATTATTGCGAAAGAATCGTTAATTGTTATCTCACCTTGAGCGCATATTTTTCCCTGGTATTTTTGTCATAACATTGAACAACTTTTCCGTTTATTCCAAGACCGAGCACGTGATTACTGATCTCATAGTCATCAATAATTGGTGTGATTTTTGGTAAACGAGTGTCACATCTTGTTAGCGTGTGTTCCATGGTTTTCCGTTTCGTTTCCACAGCCGAAACCTCTTTTTCCTTTGTCGATACCACGATTTCTGTTTCCGCTGCTCGTTTCCGTTTTCCTTTCTTATTCTCTTCGTTCTCTTCGCCAACGGGTCTCTTGCACTTTCTAAAATGGTAATCGATTGTCAGTCACATTCTCATCCCACAGGAAAGAAATTCGTCTTTTTTTATATATATGCATAGAAAACATAATTGTACCAACAATATAAAAAATATACGAAAAAGATTGAAGCACTTCATGAGAAATATGGAAAAATACAATTTAAATGATACGTTAATAAGAAAAACTTTAGAATAATAGCATATTTCGTGTTGACACTTGTGAATACGCCACGCAAATGACATGTATGTAGTAGGTAAAAAAAAATTCTCCAATAAAAAGCTAATTTATCGCTCGCATCGATGCCTATTTTATCTTTAAGAGTTACCGACAGAACATGGTTTATATCCGTTCTGAAGTTAATTCTATTTGATATGATTCACAATATATTAAAGAATTATGTATTTTATATTACATTATACATTATAAGTTTTGTAATTTTGTTATTTGAAACTGATTCTATCATAATCATTTAATCAGAATATATTTCTTCTAATGGTTGTTCCTATTGTTCCTATATTATCCTATTATTTCTATCATATTATAGAAAACTATATTATTGATATTATTATAATTATATAATTATTGTAAATATCATTTATATATAATTAATAAATTTTCATAAAATTATATAAATTAAGAAAGCATTAAAATATTTATGGTAAATAAAATTAACATAAAAATTATTATCAAAAAGTATTATATATAAGATGTATATAAGATGTTAGTTAATTAATTTACTTTGTTTTTAAGAAATATTAGATAAACTGTTTCCAATTATGTCTATTATATATACATATATATATATATATATATATATATATATATATATATA